GCTGCTCAGCTCATTCCTCACTCTTGGACACTTATCCTTGCTGGAATCCCTGTTCAGATTGGAGAATGGCCTGTGGCACAGAAGCAAGCACTCTGCTGTGCTTCCTAAGCAGGAGGGGAAGCAATCACTCACAGTTCATTAACTGCTGGAGCACACATCTGTTCCTAACTTCCCCACCTCGCCCAGTGAGGGCAGACCCCAGAGACAGCAAAGGAAAATTAATTCTTGCCTTCTACCTCCTTTTCTTCCCAAAAGCTACTTTAAGCTTTGCTCTTTATGGATAGAAACCAAGGGCCCTTGACTCAGCCAGGACTCAGCACAGTTCAGTAAGATCATAGAATCACATAATGATTTGGGTTGGAAGGGAACTTAAAGATCATCTCGTTCCAACCTGCCCCATTGTAGGCAGGGATACACCTTCCACTAGACCAGGTTGCTCAAGGTACTTATTCCTTCCTTTCCCTGGTTGACTGAGGAGGGAATAAGGGATCATTGTCACTAAATGACCTCTCTGCAGCAGCACTGATCCTTCCATTCCCAAAGTAAACCAGAATTTGGCCAGTTCCATTCAAGAAAAGCTCCCACACAGAGCTCCCACATCCCCAGAACCCATTAACTTAACCTGACTCAAAACACCAGGTTCAACTCCAGTCTAAAAGGCACTTTTAAACCCAGAAGCACACAAACACAGAGCTCCTCTGCCTTTACTCTGTGAGTGAGACAGGTTCAAGGTCTGGGTTACTCCACCCTGAAAATGAAGCAGGATGCTCACTGCAGAAACTGGACCTGTTTAACTCTGCAGCAGGAAAGATCACCCTGACCACAAACTAGCTTCAAATAAATGTCTTCTTGCTTTGCCTGCTGCAAAGTACAGGAGTGGGGAACCCCCTCAGAGCCAGAAAAGAGGGCTGTGGTGGCAGCTCCTGCTGCCTAGGAAGGGAGGGAGAGGGAGCAGTGAGTGGAAAGGGACTGACACAAGCAGAGCAGCTTTGCTGTAAGTAAAGGCTCTCCAGCTGGGGCTGCGTGGGAGGGAGCAGAGATTCTGCCAGCAAGCAGAAAGGTGCAGGATTTGTCGTGATGTGGTTATGTGTTTTTTTTTTAAACACGATCTAATTTCATTCTCCTGTGGCCCCTTCCTCGTGTAGAGCTCTTGATGGTAAGAGTTCACAGCTCTTCAGACCATACTAAAGACAAACTGGGCAGACTCGAGTTGTATTAACAATCTCAAGCATTTTAGATCAACAGCAAAGAACCCATCCAAAAGTATCCCCTCCCTATCACCAATAATATATGTTTGGTCATTATCAGATTTCTCATCCTAAGGCAACTCCTAATGTCCTATCCTTGTGGCCCATGGAGCTGGAAATCGTATGTGGGTACATGCATGAGAAACAGAGGAATGACAGCTGAGATCCTTTTAAAGTTGTGGAAATCCAACATGATTTCTGTGGGGGAAAGAATAATAAAAACACCCGAAACAAATCAAATTCTTTATGCTTCTTTCCCATCCTTAGTTTGCTTGCACTCAATAAACAGGGGTAAGAGCTGTCTCAGAGCACAGCATTAGTATTTTTTTGCCATCATCTGCTGTACCCAGACAGAAATGCCTCAAGCCCTGCCCCAGCTGTACATCCCCCAGTGCAGTTAATGTGCTGAGAGGCACTGTTTTGGCCTGGTAATCTTGTTTACACATGTTTCCGCTGTATTTTATTTCCTGCATGCCTGTAATCTCATTTACCGGCCTCAGAGGTAAAGCAAAAATAAAATGAGATCCCAAGAACAAAAAAGAAAAGGCAGGAGGCTCACAGGGATGCCCTCGGTCATCTCACCCAGGCAGTCGTGTGCTTTTTCACCGCTGCCACGTGACTAATTGCACCTCTGGACTCGGTGTTCCCCTGTTTTTCTGACTGGGCAGGACAAAGCAAAGGGATTTGCAGGCGGTTAATTCAGATAATTGTATTTTCCTGCTGCCTGTGTAGCGGAAATGCCAGAGCTCTGAGGGCAGGGGATTCCACGTGCGCTCGCGCGGCCTTATGTAGTGCACCGTATGCCTGCAGCTGCCCTCCCCTAGTCCCATCTGTTGGAGATTGATGTTGATTTTGCTCATCTTGCCTCCTAAAAACCCAGCAATAATAATGAATGAACTCAGTGCTCAGGAGAGTGTTGGCAGCCCATTCAGCTGAGGGCACATTGCAGGCACATGCTCTGCAATGGTTTCTGTGCTGCAAACACGCTCGCAAGGGTATGGAACTGGATCCTGTGGTTAAGTGTCCTGCAGACAGGTCTTTGCACTTGGATTTCAGTCTCTCACCTTTCTTATTGTTAGATTTTTCTGTCGTGTTTCCTGCCTGCCTTGGTCTTTTTTTTTATCCTGTGATTACAGGCACAAAGCCCAAGCACAGGGCTGGGAGCTGGTTAGGGACAGAGTCAACTTCTAAGCAAACTCCCCTTTTCAGGTTGAAGATATTTTTGTCCAAATTTAATTTTTATTGTAAACTGCAAGCTGATATATAGAATCAATGTGATTTGATTGGCCCAATCTGAAACTCAAGCTTTTTAAACCATGAGCATATTTGCTGGTTTAGCTTTTCATCCCAGCCCAAAGTGGAAATCCTCCTCAGAAGCCCCCAGTTCTCAAAGAATGAGCAATTCCAGTTGAGCTATCTATGTGCTTTGATCCTGGCACACAACTTTGCAGGCTTTCAAATCTACCCTACTGAGGAAGGGTAGAACCCTTACTAGAGCAGCCCACGTAGCTGAGATTATAATTCTTCAAATTGTTGTCATTTTTGTTGCTATCTTTTGCCTGAACCCCCCTACCAGTTTTTTTCCTTGAACAAGAAATTCTGTACTGGAGCAACCCAAAATCTACTCATCCTGTGGCAGGTACTTAAGGAGGAATGTTAGAATCAGAATGTGTCCTCCTGGCCCCAGTCAGTCAATAGGGGACTTTCTGAAGTGAGGTCTCAGAAGAATGAAGGAAAAAAGGGAATAGAGAGAAAAGCCATTTGCCACACATAATAAAATCAATTTTTGAAAACAAACAAGTTTCTCCAGGAGGTAAAAACTTGCTTCCTGTCCTCTAATAACGACAAGAAGGAGCTAGAAAGAAATTAATGGACATGCCTTTGGCAAAACAGCAGCAGTAGTTCACCTAAAAGAAAGATGATGTCTATAAATAGAAACCCTCATTATAAGCCGGCCCCAGATGTTTGTTTGCAGGAATGTATCTTGTTTGTGATTGAAGATGTCTATATGTGTGTACTATACCTCCAACATGCAAGAGGAGTCAGAAGCTGTCATTTTAGGGCACATGAGAAAATGCAACTGCAATCAATAGTTGAGTGATGAAGGTAAGTCTTGGTGTAGGTAAGTCAGACTGTCATCATGACCACTGGCCTCTCACAATCCTCAGACATCTCCTGGGAGGTCCCATTGCCCTTCCCCTGTGGTAAATACCCCACAGAGAAGCAGATTGAATTGGTTCAGACTTCATTGTATTTAAACTTTGCAATTTATATGATTTAAAATCCTGAACAGAGGCCAGCATTAAATGGAGAAGGACAAGAAATGTCTTCCCCTCTTTGACTGCTTTGTAAATAACTGTACTTGATGGAGTCTTACTTGCAGCAAGGATATGTTCCTGAGTGTGATGGAAAATTTCCCACTGACTTCACTAAACTTTTGAGACCCAAAGGAATATTACAGCAGTAAAAAGCTAGTACTGTACAATGGCCTCAAGTTTCTCCTGGCAGTGAACATCTCCTACCAAACATGCCAAAAAAAGCTGAGTCTCCCCAAAGCAGAAGAGACATTGAATGGTTTCACGTCCTTGCTCTGAGGGACTTTAACGTCCATGAATGCTTGGAGCGCTCAGAATTTTGATAAGTTCACTCTGAGATCTCAAAGCCTGTGTCCAGAGACTCAAAAATCTCCTCATTAAAGCCCCAGTCCCACATCCATCTGTGCATCTGTTCATGTCAGCTAGGACTGTACTTCAGCACAGAACTGAGCACCTCACTAAGTCTGCCCAGCGAAGGAGAAGCACAGAAAATCAAGGGCGTTGTAAAGAACCACATGACAAGGATGAAGGTCTTCCAGTTAAGGGCCTAAGACTTACATCAGTCCACAGATCCCCCAGGTTGTGTTACTCTTTTCCTTAGTAGAGAGGATTTAAAAAAATAAAAATCCCTTTAAAAAGGTTGTGCTTCATATAAACAAGTTTCATTTAAATGCAGCTAAACTCTCAGGTTTTCAGTGGGTAAAAATCAGAAGAGCTGAACTAATGTCAAGGAAATTAAGCCAGTTCATGCCAGCTGAGAATCTGCCTTAAAGACTTTAAGAAGGCAGAGCCAGGTCAAAGAGCATTAAGTTCAAAGAGCAGCACAGGAGAGTACTGTCCTCACACAAACTTCTCAGAGCCTTCTCTTTTGTTCTAACTCCAAATGGTGGAGCAGAACAACATCCATCTCTTAGACCTGCTGCTTTGGTGCTCACCAGGCTCATCCTGGAGTATATTCCTTTTGAATCACATAATGACTGAGAGCTCTGAAAGGTTACTCCAGCACTCTTAGAAATTTGCATATTCTATGACAAAGGACTTGTTGCAGTCATTTATTTATCCCTGAGCTGTAGTGACATAAAAGACACGTACAGCCTGATGAAATGGGTTGACTCATTTCACTGAAGCCTCCCTTGACTCATGTAATACCAGCTCTAAACTTAGCCATGGTGAGAACTGAAATAAAGAACATAAACCTTTATGGAACAGGAAAATCTATTTTTCAAGTCCAAACAGCCTTAAGAAGAATTATTTCTGAGCTGAGCTTACTGCTCCCTGGTATTTTTTTCCCCATCTCAAATCCCACATCAGAAGAATTTCAGGCTGTGACAGATAGATATAGATTATATATAGATATAAATATACAGATTAACACACATATAATTATCAGTCATTATTATTCAAAAACTGTTATCACTGTTACGCACATGTGATATGGTTCTGCAGAATGGGGACATTATTTTATTGAGTTATAGATGGGGAAAAGGCATAAAGAATACAGGTAATGCACATATTTGAAATAGCAATATAAACAGAAACAGAAAAATGTTCAAGTCAAAGTCACATGAAAAATTAGACTAATCTTCAGATGCATTCTAGACTTGTATGTACAGCATTTTTATGCTAAAAGTAGAAATACAAACTCCAGAGATGAAGCACATCTCAAGAATACAAAATAAATAAACAAAGATGAATGGCAAGAAAAGAAAGAGAACAAACACTCAAATCTTCTTCCAGAATGATGAGAAATTTTGATATGTAAGAACCACGGTAGAAGATGCCCAATCTATGACAAGAACTCATTTATTTCCAAACAGAATCTCAAATAATAAAGTCTTGTGCCTGGGAGCGAATGCAAAGCATTTTAACTTTTATCACTCCTTTTGTGGAGTTGAACAATTCCTCTACAAGAGAGACCTCCAAGCAGGACAGTGTTTCAACAATCCCAGTGAAGAAATCCAACTCACTGGGAACGTGTGCTTGGTGGGAACATCACAGTTATTTATCCAGAAGGAAATTTTTCGGCAACTTCTAATCCAAGGTTTCTTGAGAACGAGGAATAGATAGATGGGTTGGGTTTCAGAGTCTGCAGCAGTGTCTTCCTAATGGTCAGGATCTGCAGGAGGAAAGCAATCAAACTGTCAGGCAAAAAGCTGTAGTAAATATCAAGAGAAAAGCATTAAGCTCCACACCAGATACAAAATTATGGATTACAACTAAGTAGTGGAATATATCCCTGTCCATGGCAGGGGGTTGGAACTATATAATCTTTAGGTTCCCTTTTAACCCAGGGCATTCTACAGTTCTATGATTCTATGAAAGATGCACCATTATTTCACTTTCTTTTCAAGAGCATTACTATTAATTGAATGACACCAAGGACCATCAGTGGTTTTTTCTCCTGCTGGAAATTTCTCCTTCATCAATTTGTTTGCATAACCAAATATCCTAGAGAAAAACAAGCATTGTTTCCACTCCTACAGTCCTTGCAAATTAGATTTTTATGGTAGATTTTTTTTTCTCTCCAGAAAAATAGGTCAGTTCCTCTGCAGTAATACACACAATCCGAGGCCCACGTTTCTGCTTGGAATGAGCACATGGAATGCAACTGCCCCTTTGAGTTGGGCATCTGCACATGGCACCGACCACTTCAACTGCTCAAATGACTATTTGCAAGGCACAGATTTCCCCCGACTTCAGAGCTGAAGTGAGGCCTAAATACTTAAGCCTTTTTCTACTTCCAATCTCTCTCTCTCTGAAAATATGGACCATAAATATCCTCTCCCAGGAGATTAGTCCTGGAACCTTATTGGGCTTAAAGTTACGTTCAAACAATGTCCTAATAAAAACAGTGGCTATTGAATAGTAAATAAAGTGTGTTCCAAGGACATCAAATCATGATTACAATGACTTCCATTTTTGTAGAACTTCAAAACTAAGTGTTTCTTTCTCTACGTATTGGAAAATAAAAAGACTTGGTATACAAGAATAAGTTAAATAGATGGAAATATAAATGTAAAAAATAACAGAAGATTGCTTAAGAACAGCGGTTAAAAACAGAAAAGTTATTCCCAGGCAGCCTGTGTAAGACAAAATAGAAAAGAAAGAAGAAGGAAAAAAGGGATTTTTCCAAGTAGCTTCAACTTAGTGGGATCAAAGAAATTGGTTTAAACAGGGTCTGAAAGGGAACAAGGAGTATTCTGAGCACAACTGCACACCTAACCCACACTACTTCACACAAACACCTGCCTTAAATCAAGTCACCTTAAATTGATCACGATTTAACAGTGTCTTTTTTCAGAACAAAACGTGAAAATGCTTCACTTCCTAAGGTAGCTCTGGAAGGGAGACAGAGCCCTACAAATATTGGTCATCCACATTCTGAGTCCTGCAGAGTGGGAACCACACAGCCACCTCACTCCTTGCCTCAGGTTGCCCTGTCATTTTTTTTTGCACATGCCCCAACTTTCAAACTTTTCCACAGTTTTGACAAAGCCTGAAGGTGACTTACATGAAAAAATAAAAAAAAAGGAAAAAAAGATTTTGAACTGAATCTGTGTGAAATAAAATAAACATTTCTCCCCACTCTGAAATAAAAAAGGCACAGCCTCCATCAAAAGAGCTCTCTATGTGTTAATCTGCAGTGAAGCCTCAGTGCCAGAGCTGGCACCCTTTGAAGTTAAAGGAAAAGCTCCTGCTGTCTTTATGACGCCAGATTCCTGACTGAATTGAAAAATAGGAAACTAATAGGCTTTCTAAGCTCCCAGTAGCTCTTGGAAGATCACTGTCTTGCTCCAGTGATCATAGGAGATGCCAAGGGGACTGGGTTATGTACCTCACACTGGCTGAGCTGACAACCAGAGCTGCCTAGAAGGGCTCCTGATCTTATTGTGAGGGATCTCAGAATGAACCTTAGCCAGGATAGAATGGCAGATTTGAACAGAAGAATAGAGATCCATATCTCAAAATAAAATACTTGGCTTTTCTTTTGATGTCACCAATTCCACTTTTCTTATTTTTTTTTCCTACTGATTCATGTTAGCTAGAATCAAAATTGATTTTATGGCAGTTTTTCATGGTATTTTCATACATTTCTTCTTTATTTTCTCCTCTTGAAGGAAGAGGGAGAGAAAAAAATAGAAATTTGGAAAAAGAAAGGGACTTTAATAGAGATATAAATTAAAGTTTGAATCAATATTTTTTTTCAGTTGATGTTAAATTAACAGAATTTGATGTTTTCATATAAAATATAAAAAATATGAATGCAGCATTTTGATACTCTTTGATTATATATTTTCTACTGCAGGGACTTCTTGATTAAGAATTTTCAGCCAACTTAAAGGCACAAGTATTAGAAACCCCTGCAATCTGGCATCCTGAGCCATAATCTTTCGGAGTAGCAGAGAGAGATCTGTTTTGAGCAGCAGAGCATCCACGGCATAACATAGTAGTGTATGTAATACAAGCTAGGATAACACAGGGTAAGAGATTAATATTCTGCATCATACTGTGCTCTGTTATTTTTATCCTGCTGTTTCTTTCACTCACCATCTCATGACTCACACCCTCCCCACACTGGAATTTCTGTCTCAGTCTCGTGGCTCACTGGTGTGTTACGGAAGACGATGCCGTGGAAAAGCCATCTGGAGAACAGCGCTACTGCCAGGGCTCCAGGTCGCTCTTAAAAACAGACAGACATAACAACATTTACTGATTTATCACATAACTCCTCTGAATATTGCAGTCTCTTTAGCAGACTGCCTTCAGTAGCTGTGAGGGTTGCAGTTCTCCGTGTTTTTACAGCTTTAGTGATGGTGCTGGATATACGTCCAAGTCACCGTCCCATGGAAAGCTGACACTGCACAAGCCTTTAGAAAAATTACAGGACTCATCCTGTGAGGTGATGGAAGGGCTCTTGTGAGGCAGGTGAACGTAATCCAATATTTGTAAAGGAGCTGTTCCTTACACATTTCTCAGTTAACTTTATCACCTCAGGGACACGGTCCTCGATGCCCCACTAGACAGACCTTCAGGGCTTCCTGAGGCCAAGCCACAGTTACTTGATGTGGGCTGGGAAGGCCAGGTCAGAAGAGGAATTAGATGTTTAAATCCTTATTAATAGCACATATAGCTACTGTGATCCAAAATGTAGAACATCTAAATCCCAGTTCAGTTTGCTGCTGTAGAATCCTGCAGTCATGGTTCCTAACAGACTCAGTTTCCCAAGTGCCTCTGTTTAAATCCAGACTCTGGCCCCTGTTTAAATCCAGAGATAATATCACTAGTTATGAACCTAAATTCTGCCACATCCCAGAAATCAGGGTGATCACAGGAAGCATAATTGTTTTTTCTTACCTCCTAGATGAGTGTTAAGAGCCCCTGCTCAAGAATTGCAATTCCCTCTTTTATCTGTATCTGAACTTTCATCTCTACCTTCCTGAGGGCTATTTCTAAGTAGTCACAAGCCAAGATCACAGAAAGTTCACTCTTTATATAAACAAGTAAACATTCCCTAGGCTAGAAGGAGAGTACTTCAATCAGCATTTGGACACCCTATCATCCTTAAAAAAAATATTCCTACCAGAAAATAGCTAGTCAATCTCAGGCTAGAAAGTCATGTTTTCTCCTCTTTTGCCCTGACACTTTGAAAAATGAACTCCACTGGAAGGAGTCAAAGAAGCCTTGTCCACAGAATATTACCAAAAAAGGCATTTGTGTGGGGAAAGGGGAATAACATCCTAATTCAGGTACAGTAGCAAGATTCCTCTCATGTAGGTAGTGAAGCAATGAGCTCTCCAAGGACCTTAGTGTGTATCCAGCCAAAGCAACCTGCCATTTTGCTGAGATAGATGGGAGTCAGCTTGGTTTTGGAGCAAGTTTAGCAGAAGGATCAGTCTTGCTCCACTGTGTTATTCCAGCTTTCACAAGAAAATGTACCAAAGGATGTCAACCAGCCCTTTATCACAAGCTTTTAGATCCACTGGCCTCCTGCTTTCCTGCTCTGTCAAATCTGGCTCTACAGGTGACACTGGAAAACATAAAGCCTGTTTTACTTCCATGAATGTTTTGTTCTCCAGATTTGCCTTGGGGCAGACTACCTTGTCACCTCAACTCGAGTCCTTCACATGGATTTCTGATGGTGACTCAGGACAGACCAGGAGTCTTTTGTTGGTGAAAAAGCCTAATCCAGCAGAGGCACTTTGTCTCTCTGACACCAGCTCAAGTCACCCGTCACATCCTCTGCCCTCTCTTCTTGTCCATTCCCAACATAACTGGCTGCCTGGAGGGGGGCAGATGTGCATGACAGAGAAGGAAGGCTGAAGGCTTGCACATCCATGCCACATTCAAATGTCAGGTCTTCCCTGAATCCAAAGGGCAGAAGCTTCCTTCCCTCAGTCCACCCTCAATCCAGAAACGTGACATCAACTCAACAGTCATGTCCTTCCTCTCAGACAATTCCCCCAGCTGGAGGATGATCAATGCAAGGACCCGAGGAGAGCCTGAGGAGGATGTGATTAGTGACCTGAAATGAAGCCTGTGCAAACTGCAGTAGAAGCTTCCACTAAAATCTCTTCCATTGGAGTCAGCACCTCAGGACAACAAATGCTGCTGCAGTTTGAAAGACGATTACCGAGAAAAAAAAAATTAGAAAAGAAAAAGCTATAGGGAATTGGAGCAGCCAGAGAAAATCTTGTTAATGCAGCAGTGTCCTGCTGGGAGCTTTCTGTTCAATAGTCAGGCTCCTTGGTACTACTGAGTGAAACAAGTTTTTGCTGTCTAACTCTGAGCAGTCCTTTAGAGTGATGTTTGTCCTGAGCTGCAGTTTCTTGTCCTGAACCTTTCTTGGTCTGCAGCTGTTCTAAGTGGAACACTATCTGTTGTGATCTTCAAATGTTGTACATTTGATAGTGTTGCTGTGTGTCCATCCCATCTTCTAGTTTGTATATTTACATCCTTTTGTCACTGTTAAACCACAAAGCCATGTGTGTACTGTTCTCTTCTGAACTCACCCCATCTTAATCCTATGCCTGGGAAGTTTCATCCTTACCTGCTGGAGGATTTCCCATACTCATTTTAAACCAGATTTTTAATATGAATTCTAAAAAAAAAAAAATAAAATTAGTATAATTTTCTATTAGTGATTCAGAAGAAGAGGTTGGGACCTAGAAGGTAAACTGAATACTATAATATATATAATCACTACAATTTCCAGGGAGCAATGATCAAATCACGTAACATCTCTACGCTGCATTCCTTGTAACTGCATCTTCATGGCAAATGAGTGTCTACCATTGGATATAAAAATCATCTGGCACTGAAAACAACAGAGAAGGATGTTAATTCCTCGCTCAGTGCATCACTGGAAAGCCTTAAAATTACTGATGCAAGATTAGAGCCTTAAAAAATAAAAGTGCATCATTCAAGAACAAGAATTTTGCCTTGAACATGAAGTGTCACCAGCTTTAAGACTAGTACTATTTTTGGAACAAGAATTAATAGGAAAGGAATCTGCAAAACCCACACTTAAAATTTCTGTGTGTCAGATATTTCTCCATCTTACTTATAATTTCTGTCCTAAGACGAAAGGTTCACAGTTTGCTTTTTCAAGACACAACAATTTTTGTACTTTCTAGTATTAACTGATTTATGCAACTTTTATAGTTCTTCTGTCCATGAATTAATTAGTTGCCAATCTCACTGTGTTTTAAGTAAGAACAGCACCAGATGGAGACCAGATTTGCTTATTAAGGGGTTTTATCAAAAAAGGAATTCAGCAAATATACGTCTGAAATCCAGTATCGATACTAAAAAGTCTGACAAACTTTTCTAAGAAACTGCCTAATGCTGTGGTACCTGGGTTCAGTTGTATTGACAGAGAACAGTATCCTCCCCTGGAACTGTGCTGTGTAAAATGTCTAAACTGAGCACTGAGCTCAGTTCTGACCCCGGTGAAGTCAGTGACACAACGCCAAGTGTCTTCCATTGCCTCGGGACTGTGACTATTGTTTTTAAGACAAGTACTTGGCAATTACCTAACCTGCACCCTTTGACTGCCACCATAAGGGCTCGATTGGCTCTTTCCTCTCCATATATGCAGGTTAATTACATCAGATACTTTCAGCACTATGAGAGCAGTCACGAGACATGCTTTTCCTCCATTCCTGCTCTACACAGGCTCTGTAAGTGCAGACTTTTTCTCTGTGAACTAGGAGTGTAGACCAGGAGCACCTTCACATCAGAAAAATACAGGGTTTACTGAAACAATGCCAACTCTCTTAATATAAAGTAGCATCAGGTCAGGTTCGCCTGTCAGCAAAGGCAAATTGAGGCTGGCAAGGCAGTGTTGAGTCTGACAGTGTGTAACTTCCCCAGGTGCTGTTGGAGCCTGTAGGAGGTGTTGCTCTGACTCATGGAGGCTGTCAGAACTAACAGGACAGCTTGATAAGACAGTCTTGCTAAAAACTCTGGTGGTTGTACAGAGAACCAGGCCATTCACAAACTGAAAAGGAGAAAAAGATGTTTCAGTAGAGTCCCACCACCAAGGTGCACAGTTTCACTGCAACAGCTGAACATCTCAGAAATAAGATCAGTGCACTCAGAATGAGTAATGGACACAGTGAGTGTCCAGTGGAGTCCTCAATCATTCACTGTGTTGAAGCACTCACAGCCTAGCTTGGCCTGCTACGAGTCACAGAAACAACTAGACCAATGCAACTAGATCCCAGCAGGTCATAACCTCTTTGTTCATGTTCAAAGGACAGTGAATGCATCAGTCATTTCACAGAATCATAGAATGGGTCCCAAAATGGGCTGGAAGGGAACTTAAAAATTGTCTAATTCCAACCCCCTGCCATGGGCAGGGACACCTTCCACTGTCCCAGGTTGCTCAGAGTCCCATCCAACCTGGCCTTGGACACTTCCAGGGATGGGGCAGTCACAGCTTCTCTGGGCAACCTGTGCCAGGGCCTCCCCACCTTCACAGGGAAGAATTTCTTCCTGATATCCAATCTAACCTATTCTCTGTCAGTTTGAAGCCATTGCCCCTTGTCCTGTAACTCCAGGCCCTTGTAAAAAGTCCCTCTTCATCTTCCTTGTGGGCTCCCTTCAGAAACTGGAAGGGATTTGTTCCTGCAAAGTCTGTACCTGCTTAAAGGCTGAATGTCCACTGTCAGGGAGTGACACACTTGGTGAAATCATGGGAGAAGACCAGGCCAGGGTCCCTGGTGATCTTGTTTCACTGAATATTTACGTTTTTTTGGAAAGGTAGAAATGAGATAGAGCAGCCTGCAAATGCTCAATTTTTTTTTTACAGTAGTTGGGACAAAAGGCATTTTGACACCCTTCCAATAAAGAGGAAAAAGCCAGAATAACACAGAGCAAACTGGTCAGTAAAACTTTCAGCTGCTTAATTTGTAAGAAAAAATCCTCACATGTATTACAGCGACCTGAATGTCTGTATATGTTTTGAAAAAGGGCTTGGGCACCTATGGGTATTTATAGATATGCTGTTTAGAAAGAAGCTAGCCCAAATTTAAATCTGAATCAGCCTGACACTTAGCACAGTGAATATTCAAGAGATCTGACTGCCACCACTTCGAGTCAGTGCTCTAATTCTAACTGTGAAAAATCACCAATGTAGTCTCATTACCTGCAAAGGGAAGGTTTGTGTCCACTGTGCA